CTTGCTACGCAGATACCTTTGAATTGTTTTCATCATGGTTTCAGGCATAGTTGGGTCAGCTTGGGCAATAGACATCAGGTCCAATGGCCTCTTTACTTCAAGTCGGGAGACGTGTGAACATATGAACATATCGGAATTTCCATCAAAACGCAAAAACAAATTGAGTAACCTCTGTGTTTCCTCTATAGGCCAACATATTGAAGAAACATGATATCAACCTATACTATAAATTTCTCTATCCTCTGCAAATCTAATACTGACCTGGAATTATTGATTAAGGAAACTCTCCACATCAAACAGCACTCACCAACACTGAAAAACATGCAGTCTTCATTTAAATTATACATTTTTAATATGTTCGTATTACTGATTTTACTTTTTTTGTTGCGTTTTCTTGCTGTAGTTTCTCGCCATAATTATTGTTTTGTGTTTTATTTGTTTAATTATCGTTATATTTAGCAATTGTACTTTAAGAAAGAACCTTTTTTGTATGTTCATACCTTTCTTGTGTCCAGTTCTCTTTGTCTTTTTTGTATATTTTTTCTTTACATTAGTGAACTGAAAATTTACTTAATATGTGTTGTTACTGAATTCCTGGACCTAAAACTGGTTGCAAACAAACGTATAAGCTACTCTTGTTTCATAGTACACAGATATTTTATTTGAGAATTTATAATTTATGTGAAACAAGATAAATTATGTGGAGAAGATTTTTCACAGGAAGAAATGTTAGTTTCATATTTGTGATAAGTAAGTTAAATGGTGGGTGGTAGTTCTTGAAGAACAACCTTTGAAGGATAACATGATTCTACAGAAACCGAGTAACCCTAAGTAAGCAAGTAACTGAAAGTTATGAAGAAATGGAACACATTTGTTTTCTCAAATTTTGGTTTTCACCCATCATGTTTAATCTTTTATATTTGATGACCTTATTGCATCTTGATCAATATTTTATGCTCCTGTTTGGTTTCTGCATATATGTGACAAAATCTATTCATGATTGTGTGAGTGCTTTCTTTTAGCTTTTGATATATTTGAAAGCTATAACCTCTTTTTTTTTAACTACTTGTAAGATCATGTTTGTTTTTGATTTTTCATACCATTTTTATGTAAGCTCTTGCTTAAATTTGTAAGCTATTATTTTATCAGCACGTTACTGAATGAGTCAGCAAAACAACTGTTCATCTAATCATAAGCATGATGACACTTACAAGATTTTTCAATTATATGTCATTTATTGTAAAGTATTTTGTTATTCTAATCTAATATTACTTAGATCATTACTAAGGTGTACCTATAGTTTAATATTCACTTGTTTTTTAAGCTCTTTTCTTAAATTTCATTACATTACAGAAATAATCAAAATAAAAGAAATGGCTTTCTGAACACTACCACTTCAGAAGAAAGAAGAGATATATAAATGCAAGTGTACTATTCACCCTTAAGCTTTTATTTCATACATGAGAAGAGACATACAGTAGTGACATTCACTCTGCTGATGAGAATGATGATGATGGAAATCCTGAATGAAATTCTTCTGCTGTTTCAGATAAGGTCAGGCTAGCAGAAAAAGTTAAGACTACTTTGAACAAATTGAAGAGTTAGAAGTACATCTAATATATGTTTGGCAATTCTTTTCTTGTAAAATTTTTAAAATATAAATATATTTGATTGTAAGTTGTTGTTTTTATTTCACAGCCTATATCATAAACTTTTATGTCCATCACATTACAAGTTCCATAGATCATTTTGCATGCCATTTTTTTATCGTAAAGTGATTTATAGTGAAACATCCACTTCCCTGTTCAAAAACTAACTTAAAAGTACTGATAGTAAAAACATTAAAAGTGTATGTTAAAATGATCAGCAAAAATAACTAATAACCATTAAAGTACAGTTGGGGTGCAAAAAATGTCAGCTGTGTTGAAAAATTAGCACAAACTGAAGAGAACAATTTTAAATAAGCTGATATTTAAAACAAAACAGATCAATAAAAATAACAGTGATTATCTATACAGGATTAATTACTTATAAAACAAGTATATGTATACACTATGTATATACAAGGCACAATAAAACGAATGCTAAGTTAAAAACCACTTTTCTATTACACAATATAAAATATCCAGCTCACCAGATAGACTTCTACAATCAAAAAATAACTTCTTTAATTTTAACAACAACTGGAATAATTTAGTATCTTCCACAAACACACAACCTTAACTACTATTCTTAAAATTACTGTAATCATTACTAATATTCTGGTCCAGGAAATCTTTCGAAATAGTCTTTAAAAATAGCTGCACTACCCTTCAATTTTTTACTTTACTTTAGATGTGTGATAGTCACATGGCTACTTTAGTAATCATAAGAGAACTGTCTCTGAAACTCATCAGATTTTTCTTAATAATGTTCTTCAAATTCTTACTGTTGTCAATTCTGGTACACTGATTATAACTCAGGAATTAAAAATGTCTAAGTTAAGAAAAATTTTTCCCATTTTTTTAAAAGATTTTTCAATCCCTTTATGTATCTTGGATACTGTGGTAAAGTTTTTATGCCTTTTATACACATTTTTTAAGTATAGTTAATGTGATAAGTCATACTTTCAACTTTGCAATTTAATTTTTTTTATGAATTAATTTTATTCAAGTATTTTGAAATCATGTTGTTTACTTTATCAATGGTCTTACACTACTTCATGAAATCACATGACCCTTTTATGAACCTAGTTCTGGTATCAGTAACAGTCAGTATTTGTGTAAGCAGATAATCATATCATATTGTCAGAAAACAGAAGCTAATGAATAAATTCAGTTGTTCTGATGAGCCAAGTATGTAAATAAAACAATTTTATAAACAAACCAACAACAACATTATGATTAATAAAACAAAACTTAGTGAATGACTGTGGAATACTGATGATAGTATGATACAAGTTCTGAAAGCACTTAACACAACCTGTGTGTATGAAGGCATAATTTATCTAATTTGTACAGCAGCATTACCAACTTAAAGAGCTACTATAGTATCCTCTACACTGAAGTATGAAAACAACTGTACAGCAAACAAGATACGATTAATTATACATTTTGTTATCTTCTTTCAGTAGCTCTCAAATGTGATTTTGGCATTTTTAACCAAATAAATCAGTTTACATATTACCTACTGATGGTATTTGATACTGTTCTTTTCAATAGCAGAAACAGTGTAGCATGTTTCCAGGCCTCTAGCTGCCTTCAGTCATCTTAAAATGGGTAATGATAACAAACAGAGGTAAGGTCAAAACTAAAGGTTTTGAGTTGTTACAGTGGCAAAAAAAAAAATATAGGGATGTCTATTTATCCAGTTATGCACACACACAGGCATTAGGCTGACAGAACACACTCCAGCAGATGGTAGTGTGTGCTCAAAGTTTTTCCTTTGCTGTTATCCATATGGTGGGACCAGCTTGTTCTTCAATATTCTGTTTCACCTTTCCATAGACCTCCTCAGGTGTATCACCCTGAACAATAGCTGAAAGAAAATAAAAGAAACATGCAATAAAAGTGTATTCCAGAAACCAATAAGTAAAATCATAATCCAGGAACACAATAACACTTATATCCAGAGCCATGATTTGGGGATGAACTGGGCACCATTTCCAATACTAAGCAGACCTCAATTTGATGTTAGTTTGATGTTTGAAGGGTAAGAATTAATATGCCTAGTCGGCCATCTCATTTGCAAACACACTGCAACAGCAACTTAATCACAGGTACCCTATCGTAAAATCAGAGCAATTTTCTGTATCACTCAGTTTTAAAAATACCTATAACTACAATACAGTTGATTATAACCAACTGCTATGCACCAGACAGGGGAAGGCATAAGTGGTCTATCTTGTATTGATCTCATTTTTTGCCTCTGATGAAGTTAAAAGTTCAAAATGTGGGTCAAATTAGCCAAAAAAGCAATAAAATTGCTTTAAAATAAAAAATTAAGTGATATAAATAAATTGTTCTCACTACTAAAGGCTCGTTATAAAAAAAACCTTTGTTTATGCAAAGTTGATGTGTCTAGAACAATAATTAAACAAATCTGACATAGACATGGGATAATGAAGATTTGAACAAAAATTTTGCCAAGTTAATGCAATTCATGGAACTGTTTCATGAATAACTGAAATTTGGCAAAAGTGCTTTCTACATGATCTAGCATGTGTATGAGTAAATCTTGTAATTTAATAAGACAATTCTAATACACTGGGAAATAATAACAGCCTTTTGAAAATTTCTAACTTTGATTTCTCTTTCAGAAATGTACCATTCTCAGTTAAAATGAAAAGCATTGCATTTTTTGCCAAAAGTCCTCATTAGAAGCATTACATAATGTCACAGCAAAAAGCTACCATCACTCATAAATGTGGTCATTCATTGTACATATGATGTAGCAACTCAGACTATAATATGACATAACTAACAGAAAGCAGCAGTTTCTTGCCAAGTCTCCTCTATATCACCTGAGATGTCAGAATTCTTACACAAACAAGAAATCAGTTGCCCAAAAATCAAAGAATCACATATGCCAAATGCATCTGACCAAACAGATACTGCACCTGCTTGTGTTCCAATGTCACTCTACAATCATGTTTCCCGACTGAGTTCTCCAAGCCCGTTCCTTTGGCTATGGTTTTGCTAGATAGTAGATAGGGACAGTGGGAATCTCGTTAATCTAGAACTAGCAAAAGTAAACAAAAGCTACTGCTTGTGACCATGAAGGAATACCAGAAAACTAAAAAACTTGGTGATGATGAAATGCTGCACCATATACAAGGACATAGAGAAAGTTACATTGACATGATTGCCAAGGACTTTAGGTACCATAAATGATGCCCGAGTAGTTATTTGCCTAAGTCCCGTTTACCTTCAAAGGATACATTGGACTCTGTACCTGATGATGGTATGCAGTGATTGATATCATATATAAATGAAGTCTTAGCTGAAGACCCAAGCAACATCATCTTTCTAAGTTCACTCAATGCAAAATACAGAAATTGGTTATAAGAGCATGATCCTATGAATAACACTGGTTTTTCAATCAGATCATCTGTTCTCAACAAGAAAATTGAAAACCAATATCCAGCGCATGATACAAAGGTCATGATGAAAAGGACAGTCCTCAATCATTTGTTCAGCAGATATGTCAGAATATTGTTTTGTATCAAAAGTTGCCAGCCTGAAGAGATAGATAGCTACAGAAGAATATGCAGAAGAATGCAAAGATGAACCCAGGAGCACAAGTGATCCCGAGAAGAATATTATCTTCTACCACTCAGCAAAATCATTGCAGAATGATATCAAAGATTTTGCATCAAAACTGAAAACAAAGAGGAGCAATGAAGGTGAGACACCATTGTCCATGGACATTTCATATGATACTGCACCTGCTTGTGTTCCAATGTCACTCTACAATCATGTTGCCTGGTTGATAACTGATGCAGCACCAGAGCTAGATCAATCAGACTTAAACATTCAGCTGAATAAGCAAGAAAGGCAAAAAGTTCTCAAACTTGCTCAAGACATTTGCACAGCAGTGACATATGTCCCAACTCCAAAGCATATTGGCACAGCACTACAGGTTTTGAAACAAACAAGGAGCAAAGTAGTAGTCAACTTATTGAACTGAATCAGCAATAGCATCAACTATCAAGATACACAGCAATATATCACTGCCATGGTACAAGCTACTGATGATGACAGGAAGCAAGATGAGCTTATGATAGCCACAAACCATAGAGCCAGATTATTCACTCAATGTGCAATTGACAATTTAGATTTCTAGGAAGACAGATGGTACAACAATGAATGGTACTACACATAACATTTACTAGTATATAACTTATGTCACTAATGTACCCAGTTATGTTACATCAGTACCATTGACCAAAAAATCTAGAAAAGTCTCTTGTGCAGGTATTAAGCCCTTCCATACTGCAGAATGTGGCCTGAATTTGAGACATGACTGGCTTGGAACTCCTACATGAACCTAAAGTCTCCAATTTATTTGAGGATCTTACAGCCATGTGGCATCTCTTGCAGAAGGACCCTTTGCAAAGAGATGATCAGCAGAGCCTAGTGACCTGAAATAACTTTCATAAACAGATGACAGAAGGTGAAAAACCAGCAACCTTGATTGGAGATGGACCTTTTTTCCTGAATCACCAACAAACCCTGATATCCTTGATGAATCCCTTGACTATTGCATCACTGTCACACAGAAACTTGGTCAGCAATACTGCATTCTAATCAGTGACCAGGCAATCTATGAAATATCTCTTGGGTTCCAAAAGAAGAAAGCTGAGAAATATCAATACCTGATATTGCACATGGGTGGATTCCATACAGCAAACAATTTCTTGGGTGCCATTGGCAGTCTGTTCAGGTCTTCAGGGATCGAAGCACTCATAACGGAATCCGATTTATGTGAGGCAGGAACAATGAACAAGGTTATGTCTGGAAAAAATTATATGGCATGCTGAGATGTCATAGCCTGGTGTTATCCACCATGTTCGAACTTTATTGGGAAGCATTTGAATCTTGGATCCTAGAATAACTTGGATACAACCTTGATATCATAGCTTCACTGTCTGAAGTCAATAGAAAACTTGCTGAGGCAATCACAAATCAAGATTGAAATACTGCATTGCAGGCACACACTAAAATGTTATCAATGTCAGATGAGGTGAACCTGATGCTTCCAGAGTTCAAAAAGACATTAAGCAATTCTCCTACAGCTAAGTTCTGGGTCATGTAAATTGACATGATCCTCATTCTGGAAAAAATGAAACAATAATATTCCTGTTTCTTAATATATGAATTACTAACTGAAATAACAACACCTTACAGTTATTTCAATGGTTAAAATTGGCACAAAACATAGATAAAAAAATATGATTCAAAATATCACAAAAAATACATACAAATGGGAGTCATAATGTCATAAAAATTATTAAAATACTGAATGTGGAAGCTGAGAGAGTTGGCACTTGGGAACAGCATCTTGCCAAAGTAGAGAACATGCTGCCATATTTGGTATCTGCAGGCCACACTAAGTATGTGTCTTCCATTCCACATTACTTAGCAGCAATGAGGCATCTACCTCAGGACATAGCTACTGAATTTCAGCATGGTCATTTCCATGTCCGAATGTCTAGTTTTAAGTTCAATGCTATCTGGACTGATATGGCTTTGGAACAGATGTATAACCATGAGGCCAAAACACAGCTCTTCAAAGGAATAACACAGCAAGCAGGAGCCAGAGAAAAATACCTTCAAGCATTTCCAGCACTAACTGTAGTATCTGAACAGACAAAAATGATGGTCCACTTCCAAGATAGCGGTACATGATCATCAATAAAATCTAAAGGCAACAGAGAACATGTGAACAAAAGGAAAGACATGTTAAAACTTGAAATGATCAATCCATTTAGTTGTTCTTCAGCAGAACTCCTCAATATTGCCACTGGGGAGAAGTGCAGATCTCTCGTCTTACTCAGTGTCAAAGAGAAGAGACTGGCAGCTCAAGCACAAGCTGAACAAGTACTGAAGTGGCACCAGTACACCTACAAACATTTCAGGAAAAAAAGTCAAAGGAAAGGCAAAAATCCACAGACAAGAAAATACAAGGATGAAAGTAGCATCCTATGAAATCTTTGTTTTGTCTGTGATATGGACCAGGATGCATTCAGCTATAAATGGACAGAATATTCTGCATCACTCTTTGAACCAAACCAAGATATGGTGCTTGGCTATGCCATGAGGAAAGGATACAAGGCAAACTATGTTGTTGTCCTTAAAGAGCAGCTTGGAGATGCATGGGTTGAGGAAAACCAACTGCTTGCTAGTAATGATGAGGTGGCTTTGATTGTCAATGCTATGGCATTCATACATTGTAACCAGAACAATGGATGCAACACATTCACGAATATTGAATCAAGGTACTTGAAGAAATTGCTATCATAATGTCCTTTGCAGTGCACGTATGTGACTATAGTTGGAGATCGATATGACGTTGGTTCATCCAAGAGCTTGAAGATTGGAGAAAGGTCTAGAAGATAACAGATTCAAAAATCTAGCTGAACTTACAATTGTTTGTTGGTTGGTTGGTTGTTTGGCATTTACTGGCACAAAGCAACTAGGCTATCTGTGCCAAACAACCAGTGCAGATCATAAAAGTAACATTTTTATAAAATGTAAAAATAAATAGAGTTAAAACTAAACAATGTCCAAAATTCAGATAAAAGATTCAAATAGAATTAAAAAGTCCTATCGCTCATAAAAAAATTAAAAACACAATCAAGTTGGACAGTGTCACCATCAGGATTGGGGTGTAAACCCCATTGGTGGCAAATGTACATGCAAATGGTTCTGGAGAAAGAAAGGTAAAACTGCTTGCTGTGGTCCACTTCAACAAGTTATTGAGGGCAGTTTGAAGCTGCCTCTCAATAAACTTCATATTTGATCACTGACAAGAAATGTGGAAGTCATCAACATAGAGGCTGTTTGCAACAGTAGGAGGAAGTTGATGAGTAATTGAATTGATCTCGATACTAAAAATATAACACTCAAGACTAGAGGAGCATTAACCATCCTCTCTAAGGCCTTACAGAGATAGCTGGTCAAAGCAATTGGGTGATAATTAGAAAGAATCTTGGAATCCTTCCCAGGCTTAAAGAAAGGTAGGACAATAGCCTGGCACCAAGCATCAGGAAAAACGTTTTCCTGTCAGATCTGTTAAAGACAACCAGAAGAGGAGCAAGAGAAGCAGGAGAGAAATGGTGCAACATCTCATAGAAAGAGGATTGCTCTGCTCGAGACTTGATGGCTAAGAAGGCACGAGAAGAAACAGATGTGCTGGATGCATGAGAAAAGCTCTTGCCTAAGAGTATTGGCAATGCTCTATATATCAGCAAATTCCTGGCCATTAGAGAGCATGATGGAAAGGGGATAGGAAGCATACCTCCAACTGACCCTCTGAATCTTGTCCTATATGACTTTGGAACTGGTGGTAGAAGAGATGGTTTGACGTCTGACCTGCCGAGAATGGGCACAGGTCTACTGGAAAGAAATGCGGTTGGAAAGAGTGGGATACCTTCGAAAGGTATCCCAGGCCCATTTCTGAGCCTTCCGTGCCTGCTGGCTGGAGACCCCCACAGATGAGGATACAGTGGGAAACGTGTTGAGGATTTGGGAATAGAATGAACAGCTGCTTGAATGGGGCAATCACTTACTGCCTCCATGCAGTTGTTAATAGATGGCAGACTAATGACAGCAGTATTGAGTTCCAAGAGAACCAGCCAGCCTGGTCCAACTTCCACAGACAAGGTGGGCACATGTCGGTCAACCAGCAGTGCCACCCCTCCATGCACTCATCCATTACACAATCTGTCATTCTGGTATAAATAAAACTACAGAAAGGTGATTGTATCGGCAGGTTTCAGAAATGTTTCCTGTAAGGAAAAATACATGTGATAATAGGAATCAATCAAGGCCTTAATGTCATCCAGATTAGAATGGAAACCTTGACAGTTCCACTGTATCAAAGTGGCCATTTTTACTTAGGTGGAGGAGAACTGGGCTGAGCACCCTCTCTTTACGACCAATCCACTTTTCTTTACTAGAAAGAGGCCTGTCAACCTCCATGGATCCTGCTCTGGGTTGAGTGGGCAGGTTTCTGTCAGTAGACATAGATTCCAGCAACTGAGGGCATGAACAATTAATCGTTCTGCATCTCAGAAGATGGACCTGAGGAGATACCAGAAGCCGGGACAAAAGGAAGTGGACCCATGCAGTCACTGGAAGGAATGGTGTAGACAGAGATAGGAATAGATGTGGACATGTCAACTCGTTTATCATTAAAGGGCAAAATACTCTTCACATGGTTTGAGAATGACTCTGTTGGAGGCACAGAAAGATCTGTCTGCACTTCCACTGTAGCAGTGGAACGTAGTACAGCAGCATATGTCCGAGATGGAGTGAGGAACAATAATTTCCGAGCCTCAGGGTAAGAAATGTTATGGACATAAACATTGTACCTCTTTCTCCTCCACCTACTTAGTGCAAGATCAGTAGAAAGAGGGGTAGGAACCACCACAACTGATGCGGTGAAGGTCCAGTTGACACTCATAGGTGTCATGGTCCTTGTCACCACAACAATCACAAATGAAAGAACCACAATAAGATGCCTTCGAATGTCTGAACTGCTGACACTGGAAACATCCAAGAGGGTAGTATGGCTGCACCTTACAGTTCAGATAACCTGCCCTGGTAGAGGCAGGTGGACCTGGCACTGTATACATAAAAATTAATACATTTGTAGGCAGCATAATTCCATCCTAGCAAGTGGAGATACAGTGCACAGCAAAAACTCCTAGGCTGAAGAAACCAATGAGGATCTCTGACTCAGAGATGTTCTTCAAATCCCTCTCAACGATCACTCCCTGGGAGGAATTTAAAGTAGCATGGGGAGTAACCTCAATTGGTATATCCCCAATGGCCTTTGACCTTAGGAGGATTTCACTATGTGTAGGTGTAAAGGTTTCCACCAAAATGTCTCCAGAGTGCAACTTCCTGACTGACTTGGGAGAGCCAGCAAGCCCCTCTAATCCCTTCTGAATGAAAAAACAGACATTTGCCCCACGGATTTGTCAGAGAAAGAATGAAGAATTAAAAATCTAGGTACATGAACAGTGACTGTGAAACAGAGTCTTTTATGCGTGCTCATTTACCTATTAGCCATTTTTTACATTTTTATTTTGTCGAGAATTGGGGGATCCATAATAAATAGAAAATGATTCAGTACCCACTGACCCCACCCACTATGGAATCCTACAAGGGGACACACTACAATGCCAAACAAGGACACTGCAGCAGCCCCAAGGCTTTGTGAGCACTATACTCAAACACCAGCATCAGACACAATGTCCACAACACCCTTAGCTCAACAGGACCAGCCGACTAAACCTGGGGGCGGACACCCCAAGACCACCTGTCTACAGGAGTTCAAGGCCAAAGTGGTGTGTTGCAGTGCCCCAGACACCACTCAACCATTGGGATCCTCTCCTCCCTTTCACTGTCACCACACACAGCAAACACAAGGGTGGATGTTCAGATCCCAGAGGAGGTAAACTGAAGATACAGAACCTTCCCTGGAAGGTCCCCTCACCATGTACAAAAATCCACCTCGACGGGCCAAACATACGAAATCAGAAATAACCCGTCTGTGCCATCATGAAAGTCCATCATTGCAAACTTTAAAAATAAATTGGCATTCCAGCATTACCTTGCAGCCTCTCAGACATGCAACACTGAAAGAGTACCTCCTAGTGTCAAGTTAATTCTTGGTGGTCTCTTTGATGAAGCAGATAAAGCTGTCATTCTTATTAATGATGAGTCAGTTGTTCTACCAGAGGTGGCATGTGGAGACGAAGAAGCAGATACAGGGATCTTCGCCCATATGTCTTACTGTGTCAGTCACTATGACTACAGGCAACAGATGCTGACATACTCATCATGGCTATCTACTATAGTGTTTGTATACCTGGATTGAATGAACTGTGGGTGCAAAAAAGGCTCAGTGTACATGCCATGCCACAGAATAGAGAGTATCCTAGCTGAGCTCTATCATGCACCAGTTCTAGTCATCACTTCAGCACTCCTTGGAGGTTATGTTATGAGTGGATGTGACACCATCAGTTATGTCTTTGGAAAATGAAAGAAAAAGCATTCAGAGTTGCCATGGAAAATACTTCAGACTTGAGTGCAATGATAGAGTTTGGCAATGACTCCCTAACTGCAACACCAACTGTGGTTGATACATGCAGATCATTCTTTCTGAAGCTGTATGATGATTTCACTGGCACTCTGGACAACTTGAGAGCACATACACTTTTGGACGTATCAAAGGAGATCTAAGAAAACTACCACCTTCTCAAAGTACCTTCAAATATCACATGCTTCAAGGACTGTACCAAATTGCCATATGCAAGAAGGCTTGTTAATGTGATCTTGCTTTGCTTGATGATACTCTGTTTGGTAGACAACTCCTAGATGGTCACTTAGTTCTTATCTTGATGGACAAACCATCTATGCCACCAGCAACAAAAGTGAAGCATTATTACCAGTACAACAAGAGCAAATGCAGAAAGAACTGTTCCTGTGCTGCTGCTAATGTGTCATCACTTGTAAATCTGCAGCAAACTCATTGAAATGTGCTCATATTGTTGCTGAAAGTGAAGACACTGAGTAAACAACTGGGATTAGATATAAAGGCAACAGACAAAATTCAGTATAAAAACAAAGTGTATCGAATTTGATAGCTATTACCTTTTGCAATACTTTTTTTTAGTTTTTCTGTATTTTGTAAAGATGTGTAGCTGTGAATCATAACTAATATGCATAGTATAACTATGTGGCTGTTTTTCAAACTGCAAATCAAATTTATTAGAATTTCTACAACATATTCAATAAGCAGTGCTCCTTTTAATTAATTTCAGTTTTTTGCATGGAAAGCACTACATATTGCAAGTCAGATTTGTTTCAATATTTTTTTAATACTCGAATTTAACAAGAACAAAGTTTTTATTCTTATAACAAGCCTTTAGTAGTGAGAACAATTCATTTATACCACTTAGTTTTTGATTTTGAAGCAATTTTATTGCTTTTGGGGCTAATTTTTTTCATCAGAGACAAAAAATGAGATTACTACAAGACAGACCACTTATGCCTTACCCTGTCTGATGCATAGCAGCTAGTTATAATTAATTTTGTCGTAGTTATAGAGATTTTTTGAAAACCGAGTGATACCAAAAATCACTCCAATTTTATGATAGGGTACCTATGTTCACACTGTGATTGCAATGTGTTTGCAATCAAAATGGTTGAGCAGCCCCATTAATTCTTACCCTTCAGGCAACAAACTAACATCAAAGTTAGGTCTGCTTAGTATAGGAAGCAGTGTCCAGTCCATCCTAAAATATGGCCATTTTGGCCAAGTGGATCTCAGCCTGTAAGAAACTGTTGTAAAGGTTATCAGTGGTTTTTACTCTCTCTCTAATTTGATAATTCTAAATAATATGCATAAATGTATCCTCAAAGCCTCAATTTTTCATTTCTTTTTAACAGCTTTCAGCTGCATTTCATTTTACTACCAAAACATTGGTGTTTTTAACCAATTTATTTTTAAATTATTGCACAAGGAAGACAATGTTTAGTATATTTCATGCTTAGCTGTTGCTGAGTAATTTCAATGTTTAGAATGGTTTCACCTTAGTGATAATGAGGTGAAAAATGTGAAGAGGTTATCAAAATCTCTCATTTATTAACACACTTGGAAACAACATACCTGTAAAATATTCTGCAAATTCTTGTTCAAGTCTGATTGCTCTTTCATAGGTTTTACTAGCTTGTTCTTCTGTAATCCTTTTGTTCATTTCCCTTAAAGGTAATTAAAGTGAGCTTTTTCTCATAACAATTCAGTTATTAATTACATATTTGTAATTTTTTAAGTAAAAGATTAAGCCATTTTTATTAGTAGCATTATTTATATTAACATATCAATAAAACTAAAGAGTTAGAACATTTTATACACTTCATTTAGATTTATTTTGCTATCCAGTGGAAGATAATTTACAAAGAAAATGCCACTGTTTGTAATTTTATTCATACCTTATGATATCTATAATCAAACACCTTTTAAACTCAAAACTTTTTCTTGAAACCAACAATGACATTTTTACTACAACTTTTTTAAAAAATAGATTCTTCAAAATGAAATAAAAAAGACCAAGTAATGATCATTCTAAATCTATATTTTTCTCAAACAATAACAGGAAACAAGATGGGTCAATACATTTTATAAAGTTTTGAATGATCACAATTGAACATTTATTGCACACTTTTTAATCTTTTCATAACAGGAAAGTAAAACAATCCATATATCAACTAACTGCTAAAGAAAGGAAAGACGTAGCAAATATTTCCAGTCACATCAAAAACCATTTTAATAATAATTTTCGTTAAGGAGAAACTATTAGGACACAAAATGTGAAAGCCTTTTGTTCACTAAAGAATAATCTACAGAAATATTCATTTTATTACATACACACAAAATTCTAATTTATGGTCTTATCTTTTTGCACCATCATATTAATAAACAAGTCTCACAGTGCCAAGTATATTTTCAGAAATGCAATAAGAAACCAAACAGACATGTTTTAATATTTCACTATTTATCTGAACCTTAATTCTGGTAAACTCTGATAAATTTGAAGGTACATACTTTTTCATTGTGGTATAAAATTCCAAACTTGCATGATAATACTCTAGATGGAGGACATGTGTATATATATACATGGCAGTGAGAGTTAATAGGCAAAATAAATAAAACATTTTATAACAGCCTGAAACCATCCTTATCTTCAATACAAGCATATAAAAACCATGAAAGACTCCTTATTGTGACAAAGCAACAGTGTGGCCTTACTGGAATTTATTAACCTTAAAATCCCATATTTTTTAAGACAGCGAGTGACCGAAGGTCATGGTCAAGAACTTACAGTATTTTGTGTTTCTGCAATTAAGATTCATTCAAACTCTAAGTAAATCAAAAAGAGGTGTTGGCATGGCATAAAGAACAATCCCCCAGCAAGAAATGAATGTATCAGTGAATAGATCATCTGACTTTAAAAACTAGTTGTTTTTATTTCTTTGATGACAAAATGCTAAAGTATTGTTTACTACATAAAATGACAATATTTTAAGCAGTATGTGTTTTATTGGCAAATTTGTAATTAACAAATAATATATATTAAAATCCCAGTCTTTAAATAAACAGATAATAATTTCATAACTTAAAGACTTTTCATAAAACAGAACCTGCCATTAGAATTTTGGGCTTTGTGCAAAAATTTAAGTTTTTGTTTTCATACAGGAATATTATTTTCTATTAATGACAATAAAACAACAGCCGAAGTATAGAATCCAAAATAATGACATATTACCTAAAAATAATTTCATATACCTCTGGAAATGTTTTCTGAAATCTAGAAATGTATCTCATAAGGAGTGTCACATGCTTAAAATGGGTATACTTACATTATAGATTCTACTGACTTAGGTTTAATGAATATGGCTATTGGGTGAAGCCCTGCCATTTGTAGCCTCCTAATGGCATTACCACTCACATCTAAGATGCAATGTTTACCCTGAATAAAAAAAAGAAATACTTATTAGTTCATATTTACCTTGCAAGTAAAAATCTGTCCATAGCATAGGCCTATTCTCTATTCCTAACAACACACATACTGACTTACTCTTCCAAGATACAAATAACATCTACTAAAATTGTCTAAATGATTAATTAGGTTGTACTTATCCCAGCAGTAATTCCTCATAAAAATAAACTTGTTTGGTAAAAACTTCAATTTTGTATGGTTTGTAATTTGTTCTGAAATAATGTCATTCTCAAAATTTAAACAAATTTATGGGTTAAATTCAAAAAACACAAAACTAACTCAACTACAATAATGATATACCTTCATAAATCATATATATTACAAGTAATAAAAAAATAAAACAGAAAAACTTTTATCTTCAACTAAATGTTGAATTCTTTTCATTTGTATGAATTCAGGTTTGAATAAAAGCATTCAAACTGAATAATGCTATAAAGTCTTACAATGGCTAATTCCCATAAGTTTGTAACATTGACTCAGTGGATATTTATGTAGGAATTTTTGTATGGTTTTGTGTAATCATCCCTTCCTTGTTTATGTACTTTTGGGCATTGCCATCCATAAATGATCCTTATTTTTTCAAAATTTTTTGATTACTTATTTCCTTTTTTTAAAAACAATACCAATGAATATTTTATAATGAATGGCAGCAGTTTTAGCCTGGCATGATGTGTTGTCTTGATGGACATCATGTGTTGAAGTTACTGAAATGCTAGAATGCTTCTGCACTTACCAAGTTAAAATGCAAAATTTTAGTTTGTAAGTCATCACAACAACTCCAAGTATTGGTGAGCTAGCCCTTCTGATGCCAGAATCAGAATAATCAGCAGAACATTTAGCTGTTATGCTAATTGCTGGTTCTCTACTTGAGAGATGTTTTTTTGGTTAATTGGAGGTCTTAATAGCTTTTGGAAACTTCAAAAGTTAAAATTTTCTTAAACTGAAAATGTATTTCTCACTTCCACTCTCAAAAAGCTTTCTCAACTTATACTGCCCTCTATCAGTGCAAATGTTCGCTTGCCACTAGCCTTGATACTCCCACTTATCTCTGTATACTAACATGCATATGATTATGCAGCAACCCTCCACCAATAAGAGTGCAACACTACCTCTATCGTAACTAGTGCTCTCTCTCTAATCTTGCAGCTGTTAACCACTTTGAGATTGGTCAGATCACATCAACAGAAACTGGAAGTGGGAGACCACACCACTTCTAAGCCAGGTATATTCTTTGCCTGTTAATAATGTGTTGCTAAAAGAGCAGAAACAAAGGAGGGACCCAAAGGAATTTTCAGAAATAATGGGACCCACTGGTGTAGAGTGGCTAGGGTGTGACAGACCATAAAAAGGAGTTCAATCTCAACCAACACCTGGCAGCATCTGAAATTTGTTCATCAGTTCTGCAGTAGGAAGAGGGTCCTCAAACTTTCACCTCATAAATGGGTACCAGCAGGGAAGTGGAGGACCTGTATCAAAACCCCACCTCCACAGACATGCACCTCAACACAACCAACACCAAATTCATCAGGAACCGACATGCAACTGACAGGCCCAGGTGGGTGTTCATCCCTAGTCAAAAACCTGGTGGAATTGGGATTTTTTCGTCCACTCCATGGTAGGAGGAATGTAATCAATTTTACACCTATGGGAATTAATGTGTCTTGTCCAACTACAAACAACACCAGATCCACTGGGAACTAACATCCAGTGAATGGTACGAAAAAGGACGGCTATATGTTGTGCATCTCCAGTCCAAAAGCTGGCAGCAATGGGAATTAGTTGTCCAGACTGTGGTAGGATGAGAGTAACCATCCAAACACATGTGAGGACTTATGTGGCTGGTCTGGCTCCAACCAGCACCTGATCCCCGGGAACCAATACCTGGCAGACAGTAAGAAGGAGGGTGAATCAGCCGGAGTGGCGAACTGCAATATATGGTGGAGTGCTACATCCAACACCTGACAGCATCTGGAATTATACATCAGGTCCCCGGTAGGAAAAGTATCACACCATCTATACCAGCAGAATGCCACTACTCTACTCTCAACTGAGAGTTATTGTGCACACTCAGGAAAACAGGCCTCCATTGTCCACTACTCTAATAGCTAGGAACTGGTAAGTGGCAAGCAAGACTCCCATACTTCACTGGAAGAAGGAGGGAAAAAGTGTGTTGGATAGTCTGGATGACTGCAGTACCAGAGACAGTGCAATGGGTGACCACAATACCCTATTTTGAAAAACAGAGAGATCACATTGACAGAGCCAATCAACCAACACCGGGTAGCATCTGGAATTGTACATCAGGTCCAGGGTAAGAAGAGCCTCAAATGGTACAGATCATCAGAGATGAGCAATAATCCCTGTTTGCTTTACTCATATAAGTCCATGAGTGTACAGTCTTGGACAAACACATGAAGCAAAAGACTGCAAGGTATACCTATGAGTGGTTTTGTGGAACATCCCATCTCAATGATGTGCATAAATGACCTGGATATGAGTTATCACATTGTATTTTGAAAGCATAGAGAACACATTGACAGAGTCGATCAACCAACACCTGGTAGCATCTGGAATTGTACATCAGGTACATGGTAGGAAGACTCTACAAATCACAATCATCTAGCATGGTATATGATAACAGGTCATACAGTGCAGATTTAAGACTAAGTCGGGCAGCACTCACCACAGAGCATGATTCAATTATGCAATAACAGCCACCCACAGGCAAAATGTGCAGCCAGGGACATGGTAAGGTTAAAGATCTGATGGAATGAAAACATGAAAAAGGCAACAATCATCAGGAAAAAAATACCAGGTGAATTAACTAGAAAATTCAACCTGGAAGGGTAATGGGAAAAAGGTCACAGGAGAGGTGAGGATTTCATGGAAGAAACAAATAAGACTCAGAAACCACAGAAGAGAGCAGTATGTGTCATATACTATTGGAGAGCCCTGAGATGGCAAAGAAGGTGGGTGGGATCAGAACAGTCATAAAGGTGGGGAATGGAGGGAAGGAAAAAAAAGGTGTGAAGGTAGAAGTAGAATATTGTGTAGCTGAAGTCTTGGGCATAAAGGAACAATCAGAAAAGAGGAGAACATGGGAACAAAGAAAACAAAAATGCAGCAAACAACAATTGTGAGCACATCAGAACAACAACGTTTGCATGTCAACAAGAGCAGGAACTAAAAGGAGAGATGATATAATGAACACAAAGACAAAAGTCCCCATGGAGAAGGAGGGCGGGGAGGATGAGAGAAGCAAAAGGAACAACATAAGACTTGCTACTGGAAAACACAAACAAAGTCAGTAAATCAAAAAAGGGCAGGTAATTCTGCCCTATAGGCCACAACAGAGGAAACCAAAAAGCCATGCTCAAATACCCAAGGCAAAAAGGGCAGTATGTGAGGAACCGTAGGAGGGGAAGAATGATAACCCCTTAGGTATGTGTACCACTGACATTGGTAAGCTGCCATGGAGGAAGGATGAACAGGACAGGAAACAGAGGAAGCTACATGTGAAAGTCTGGTCCTTCAGGCAAAAGATCCAAAAATGCCATGCATGAAAACAGAGTGCAGGTATGTATGGATGATGCATGCCAGAGTGGCTGATGGAGGAGTGTCAAAGATAAAGGGGAGGCAACACCAACAATCAGTGCAGCAGTGGAAAGCATGTGTGAGCCGGCCAATATGTAGCCACCAGCAGAACACTACACGGAGTAGTTAGAAGTATGGCATGGACATGTGGGAGGAGATGAATAGGAGGATATGCATGTAGGTACCAATCAGTGGCATATTTTTTGTGTTACTGCATTTACCAGCAGTAAACCAGCCTTAGGAAAATTATAAAAAACAGTGTTTTAGTCAGTATAAAAATATTTGAATCTATAACTAGCACAAATATATAATTACTGCAGTTTTGAAAAAAGCAGTGACACAAGATATCTACACGAGATATAGCCATCATCGTTGACCTCAGTGACTGTGCGAGTATTGAATATATTTGTCATCTATGGTGATTTGTGCAGCGAAGACAGTTCAGCTTATCAGCATGCATTCATTAAACACCTTGGAAGTATGTCACTCATGATTGTGGTGCAAAATAGGGTAGTAAATGCCAGATGGCACTAATTTAGTATTATTTATTATGCTAAATGCTAATATATTTTTAGTTTATGCATTTTTCATGATAATTTTAGATATTTTCATGTGTTTTGAGTACTGTTATACAAGTATATATATATATATATACACACAATATATATACAAGTGCGATAAACCAAAGGCACCAGCACAGATACGCCACTGGTACCAATCCTGATTAAGAGCATCAACTGCTCCTAGCAAAGGATGGGGAACACAAGACCAAAATTGGGGAAGTGGTGTACTGAGAAGAGTGGCAGAAGCATCCAAATTTGGGATACCCCACAGATCACACAAACCCCAAAAAATGGAAGGATCTGAAGATCACAATGCAGGGAAAATCTTGTTGGGATGGGATAAACAATCCATGACCAGATTCAGGGCACCTGGATTATGACATGCCAATGAAGTAATGTGATGGCAGTGGACTCAACACAAAAGATTTAATGGTTGAAAACAGAGGTCTGTCGACCAAGTGCCCTTTGCCCGGTGATGTACGAGACTATCATAGAAACTTTGGAGTGGACCATCATCAACCAGCCCCACTGAGCTCACAGGAAGTGAAGGTAAGTCTGACTAACAGCAAGAAGTTCCATGAGACTGACACGGAGAGAGGGCTTGGAGAGTGACCATCACCATACAAGTCGAGAAAGCTTTTTGCGACTGGAGGTAAGATATCGTCTCACAAACCTAACTTAAGTGTTCATAAAAGTCTCTTAGATTGTTATAAGAGGGATTTAAGACTATAATGAACAATATATATAATATGCATCGGCCATTTTTTCCAGCCTATCCCTACTGTGCTTAGTGATAACTTAACTTGGCAGAAACTTTAAGTAGTTTATATTTCCAGTATCTAAAGTTCCCATACAAATTGTACAAATAAATCTGACTATAATGGACTAAGCATGTATGTCAGTATCTATATATGTAACCAAAACTCCTGCACCATCCATTGAATGGCACCACAGACAAAAATCCATACAAAATTTCACACTTTGGGTATCCAAGGTTCAGACAATTAGAAAAATAATTGTGGTATGTGCAACAACCATTTCTTTATAATAGACCACAATTTTAAATAAAATTCCTCTCTTCACAACAGGAACACGATTTTCAGTAGGACTGTACGTGAGGGTTATATTATATCTAATATTGATGTAATTTTTAAATGTAGTACCAAGAAACTGGAGTTCTTAAAAACTTCTTTTTTTCTTCAATAAACAGTACCACTTTTAATATTTAAAAACTTACAGTTTAATACTACAATTAATAATTACCAGCACAAACAGCTGTCCATAGGGTGGTGTTTCTGTTAGTTTAGATTAAAATACAAAGCAATATGAAGAAAAGAAACTGACACAATAATCTACAACATAATTTGGACAAGTATAATAATAAGTACATTAGAAGAAAAAGCAGCAAAAAACTTGTTCTTATCTTTTAACATTAGACTAGTTCCATACTTCAAGGTAAATACAACAACTACAATTCTTAGATGAACTGATTCTTCTAAAAAGACGAATAGATGCACCATGAAAAGGACAAACATAAACTTTTATAATAAATTGCACAGCTTTCAGGTCTTTAGTAGATTTTACTTTTAGAACCTTGATTATTTTGTTCCCAAGAAATTGTAAAACTCTCTTAGAGGAGGAAAGGGTTAAAATAAACTCAAATTTCACAAATGGCTAGATCTTATAATGTGATTATATTTTTTAGTCCCAGCTGAATTCTTACACAAAATTAATAAATTTTACAATTAAATAGACCTTTTATCCCATATAAGCGAACTAAAATATTCTTATTAAACATGAAAAAATAAATTAGTTTCAGTACTGATACTTAAAAGGTATAATTGTGGCTTAAAAAAAGATAAGTTTTGTGGGGAACTGATAAATACTAATGACAATGTAGCTTAACCAACAAGGTTATTATGATACCTAGGATTTTAAAAAGGAAAATCTGTATGATGTATACTTCTGACTTCAAAACGAGATCTGAATTATATTAGTACAGCAGTACATTTTAGATCTTTGCATGTATATTTTTCTATGTTTTAAGTGTTCAATTTTATAATTTTTTGTAACATAATTGTTTTTTACCTTTTCTGCAACCTCCTTTACTGATGATACACTTGTTCCATACAAGTTATCATTATATTGACCAGCCTCAATGAACAAGTGATTCTGAATGTCTCTCTCCATCTGCTCTCTAGAACCCACAAAATGATAGTCTCGACCATCAACTTCATAGTCCCGTTTTGGTCGAGTGGTATCTGAGTGACAAAAGAACATATACTATTATAACTTATACTATCAGTTTGAAATATAAACAAAATTCATGTATTTTACAAATTATTAAAATATAAGCCACTCAATATAAATTCTGTCTGAAACTACTTTATGAATTAAACTATAAATCAACATTTAATATACTATTTTCAAGCACAGTGATAGAAAGATATGTGTATTGTTAGCACTATATAGAAAACATGATACTCTTTTAATGACCATTTTAATGGAGTTGTGATGTCCAATTTCCATGATATGATATAGTACTGTCACAGAAAAAAACAGAAAAACACATTTGTTTTCACATGAGCATTCAAGAGCTTAATTTCCTATACCTTGTGAGGAATTACCTCAAAAAAGCACAATAATAAAAGTTCATGGATAATATTAATTTCAAGTTCAGTGATTACAAAAAAAAATGATAATTTCTATTTCTACAAACTTTATATTCTTGTAATTATTTTTAGTTCGAAAAATTCAATACACTTTTCAAAATATTATGCGTAAGAAGAATGAAAAACACCTTAAAGTTAATTTTCAAAATAAAAACCTATTTTTCAAAAAATTTTTTGAATCCTAAATTAAAAGAAGGAAGGTTTTATATATATTAATATATATATATATATATATGTATAAATACAAAAGATACTTACGAGGTATACAACTACCAAACTTATCTGGGTGTTCAGAGATGAGATCATCATTAATTCTATCTTTCAGTGGTCCCAAAATAATTATTGGTCGTGCATAAGTAACTAAAATGTAGAAAACATATCACTAATTTACATAACTAAGATACTTGCACAGACATACCATAAACAATTTCTAATTTCAAAAATGTATATATCTCTGACACTCCCATACAATACACATTTCACAAAGGACTTTTCAAACCCTTCATTTCTATATTTAAGCTACTGTCATGTAAAAGTGTAATATAATAAAATTTATATAAACATTATGTGGTAATGGAATACTTTTCATACATTGACTTGTTAAAACTAAGGTTTTTAATTTATATAAAAGTGTCTTGACAATAAAACACTAAAAACAAAAGTTGATGTTTTGGAAACTACTAATGAAAGTTAATCTCATTTTATAAGAACAAAGTTCTAAGTTCCATGCTACTCTTGAAACTACTTCCTTCACAATTTATCATGGTCAATCTGATTGTCAAGAGTACACACTATTGTCCAACATCATAATTTCCATTGTATCAATCTTAGGCTAAATATCTTTACTAACTTTCCATAGAGCATTCACTGCTTCCAGTATTACATTTTAAGCATTATCAAATGATCATGAATTATCTGAGATATATATATATATATATACACACACACACATGCTAAAAATGTTACACTTGGTATCATAGCCCTACTACATACACATGTGCAGCTTGTTCTTGTAATGTGAGGTTATCTTTCTGTAAGAATGTATATTTTGTATGTTCCAGAGTTTGTAAAAAAACTGATGAAAGAAAAATGAACTGTTGCCTCTTAATTTTTCCAAAATACCATAGTCATATAAGTAACATACACAACATAAGTATGTACAGGCTTATATAAATAGGATGGATTTAAATAAATAAAAAAACATTTTGGAAAATCCTTAACCTAGCAGCTTTTAGAAAGAAAGAAAGATAAAATGATAAAACTTACCCTCTTGCTGTGTAACTGCTTCATAAGAGAGCATATGTTCTTCATGTCCTTCTGTAGTACATAAGCAGAATTAGTGTATTTGATACAAGCCAAACTGAACTAAAGACTCGAGCACGGTGCATAAGGTTTTTTTATTATAATGCACATTATTGATAAAATAGATATTTATCTACAATTGGGCTTTCAATACTGAATACTTTAATTTTCAAAAATCACAAAAACAAAAACTTTTTGGAAATTGATTTGTTCCATTTTGAAAAATACTGGAGTGAACAATGAATTGTAGAATAATTAAAATAATGACTTTCTAATCCAAATAGGTATAACTATTGGGACATGTTTGTTGTAATAATGGCACAAAGTTTAAATAAAAATAAAATACACTGAATATTTTGTAATAAGATAGCATCTTAAATACCCTGACTTTAAAGTAATGGTTTTTATAAAAAGAGAATGCGCAGAAAACAAAGATATATATATATATATATATATATAATATAT